ATCCTTATTTTACGGCTATGGAAATCATGTTGCTGTGGGCCACATTTTAATCCGTCTTCCACTGTTGTAGATCTAAAGCAACTTCAGTGCAGTCAGCAGAGTTAGGCACTGTGACTGAACTGATTTAACCCTACTTGAAACTAGAGTATTTGAGAAGATAGCTGTTGAGAATAAGGAGCAAGAATATTACTTTAATATTAGTATGCTTTACTTGAGTTATTTTAATGCTTTTGTTTGCTTTAAGGATTGATTCTCTAAACTGGCATCCTTGAAGGTCTGCAGATCTTGCAAATATCAGTGCGTGTAGTTTTCAGGTATCTCATACCTGTAAATAATTCTCAGATTTATAACAGCAGCCTCCAATTTGTGGGGATAAATCACATTACTTGTGTTAAAAATCATATGTCCAAAGCTCATAACGCAGCAGCTGTGTGTGCATACTGAGCTGTTTAAAAAACAGTGTTCTTGGGTTCGTTCAGCCTAAGATTTTTGTTCCTCCTTTAATTCAAATAGTTTGTTACCATACTAGTCTGAGCGCTGATGTAAACCACAAATGCTTGTGTCCTGCAGTGCCTAGATTAACATTTGTTGGGTATTCAGTGACTTGAATTAATTGGCAATTAGCTAGCTCACGTTAGGAGTAGTGCTTCTTTCTAGACATTCCATTCATTGCTCATCCAGCCAAAAGAGATACTACAGGCCAGACCAGGGCTTTCCCCTTTCCTTTTTTTAAGGAGAAGTTTTTTGACACTGTGCTTTGTCATAAAATGAACAAGCAATGGGAGACATGCAGAGGATCTTCTGAAATCAGGGACTGGTTTCCCTATGGCAGAAATTTACTGGCACTTCCAGACAGGGCTTTGGGTTGGTTTAATTTCAAATGAAAATGAAAGTCCTCCACGTGCCACTGGAAAAATCACATTTATTAAATGTAGCAAATGTAAGTAATAATTTATTCCACTTGTTGAAGTAGCTACGGGCCTTATGGTTAAAAAAGTGTTACTTGTGTTTAACATTTCTAAAAGACTGTGGGAGCATTATTTGTTGACACGGAGCATACCACAAGCTTCCCTGTGCTCTTCTTCCTTGTAAGCCGTCTTTCCCTTGTGCCATCTGGAGTTCCTGTTGCTCGTTGGTTAAACCTGTGACTTTTAATTATAAATGAAAGGCCAACGTTAGCTTACACATCCCCTTGCTTTTCAGTGTGTTCATTTTTCCTTCTCAAGTCCCCAGCCTGAAATTACGGAGCTGTTTGGGTGCAGTTCAGTGGCTAAGATCAAAAGCGGCCCAGTGTTCGCAGCTGGTAAGAAGTGGCAGCCCGTTTGAGAGCCCCAGGGTGTCAGTGCCCAGAGCTGCCTGTGGCTGCAGAGCTGCAGTCTGCCAGCAGGAGCGAGTGCCTGGCAGCTACCTGGGGCGCTGGGGAAGCAGCCGTTTGCAAGCGCTCCATTCCCCCCATTTCTCAGATTTCTTGCCAGGACAGACCAGAGTTGGCTTTTACAGTCGTGAAGATTACTCGCCTGCGTTTGGGGGTTAATCACGTCTGAAGCAGACATGTTCAAACTCTGTTTGTTGCCTTGGTAGCCTTGCCTTGAGCCAAGCCAAGGCGAAATGCCCTCTTAGCGGCAGCCGTGGTTCTTCTCCTTTCGGGACCACACAGGAACTTCTGCCGGGCCAAACATACAGATAAGCTCTACAAGTAAGCACCTAATGTATTGACACATTGGTGCTGGGGGTTCGCTGTAGACCTGAGGTGCTCGTTAACAGCAGCCACGGGAGAACTGGAAGACCCCCAGCCCCCTACCAGAGCCCTACAAACAGCACCTTTGCCTCTTGTTTCTGAGCATGTGTTCTGCTATTTCCATTTCAGGAATAGCTCAGCAGTTTACTCACGTGGTTGCTTCTTATTCTCTCTAAGGATCTGTCATTGTACTGATATATAATACATCGTGAATGTTTTATGTTCTGTATGCCAGTAAAGAGCCGTGCTGACCATCAGGAGCTCACAGGAGTCAGATGCCTGTAAGTCATCTCTGAGTTGTAACTCCATAGGCTGGTATTGCCAGGACCAAAGCTGAAGTCCAGAATACAAGTCCTTCCTTGCTCCAGCTCGCTTTGGATTTTCTCCTAGTACTAATAGGACGTTCTCCTATAGGTGGGCTACTGTCAGGGTTTTATTTTGCTAGGGTGGCATGCAGATGTCAAAGGCAAGGGGGAGGCAGGGAGGCACAGCAGAGCAACAGGTTTTATTTTTATCCGAAAATTGCATTCACTGAATTTACTGCTGTGAAAAGTGCTGTCTTGGGCTGTTCAGAAGGTTGTCTCAGAGTTATCCTCCACAAAACAGATAACGGTGACAGTGTATTTTTTTCTCAATTTTTAATGTATGTATTAAGAAAAGAGGAAAAATGCATTAGATCTGACAGGCATTTTCTCATTTTGTTCTCTGGTACACTGGTGTAAATCAGAAATGACTTCCTGAGGTTGGTGGAATTAATTCAATATAAAATCATTCTGATAGTGTGTGATTTTGTGAGGTGTGTAAAGCTTTCTAATTGTTGATTTATGTCATTATCAGAGTAAACAGAATGGTTTAATCTTTATTTCTCAGTTTCTGTGGTAGGTGAGTAGCTGAAAGGATGCTGTGAAGATTGCCTGTGCGATATGATGGTGTCCCAGGAGTTGGTGGTGTCTTTGGCTTCAGTGACTCAATGTCAAGGTGCTGCAGTGAGGACAAAGGAAAAAGTAGTTTACAGATCAGCCAGGTGCAGTGGGACAGATATCTTGACTTGGGAGAAACAACATTTAAAATCAAGTCTTGAAATGTGAGGTTCCATTTTCTTTGGGGGAAGAGAAAGTAGCTGTTCGCCACCTTTACTGGCCTCTTAAAATAATGAGTCTGCTGCATGTTACAGTGCAGCACCACGTCACATATCCTGGGAGTCTGCGTGTAAATGCCTGAGCTAGAACTTCTTCAAAGCTTTGGCAATGTAAGGGGACGGAGTTCAGAGCGATGCAAAGAGCGTGACGCAGAGCTGTGATTTGTGTTGGAAGCTAGAAGAAAGCAGTAGGCACGGTTTGAAGCCGTGTGCTTACACCGAAGATGTGCCAGGCAGGCACTATCCAAACACAGAGCAAAGCCAAGGAGAAGCAGAAGCAGGGCTGCAGAGGCTGGGAATGGTGAACCCAGAGCCCATGGTGCTACAGGTAATAAAATAAATGTACTGAGTAGACAAAATTCAGGCGTAAGAGTGAGGAGTCACTGGACATCATGGTGTTTTCCCCAAGCTGTGCTCCCCTGCTGCTCAAGGCAGAGGCCAGCCCATTGCCACACAGTTTCAGATGGAGCTGTCACCGTGCTGTGTTCTTAATTTTTGTGACTCGGTTGTGTCATGGCTGAAAGTGAGGGTGTCAGCACTTAACCAGATGAGACTGAAGGATTACGTGACTGGAAATATCCAGAAAACTTGAGCGCACCGTAAAAGAGAGATGACTGGAAGTGAGTTGGGAGGTTATTTCTCGGCATAATAACCCGTGCTTAATTGTTCAGCACCTGTCATTAACCGTGCAGTAAAAAGATGAACAAATATCTGTAGGAGATTGCTGGAGCCCTTGATGAAACTCCAGTTCACTTCTCTGGGGACAGCTTGAAGTAAGGCAGTGGTCTATGTGTTTCATCCCTCAAAGAGAAAGTATAAAGTCCTGTGGTCATCATTTCTCTGGCCTGCAGATCTGTTGTGCTCACTTTGCAGATAAAGCAACTCTTTTGGCTTTGGCGTTTGGGACAGGGGATGAGGTCAGGATCTTAATAGGCACCCAACCCAGGAGCTGCAGGCTGAGCTGGACTTTTTCTTACTGCACAGTATCACTGCTAAGAAATGCTCTGCTGAAGCCCTGCAGGTCTTAGTGCCACCAGGGAGGTGCCATTTCTTCCTCAGGTTATAAATGAGTTAAGCCAAATGCCAGCTTGGCACATTGTGTGTGGAGTGGGATGGAGTCCAGCCTGCTAGGTGGTGTGCTGCGTGCGCACATTTGGTGGGACTAAAAGCTGAAGCAAACAGATCTCACTTGAATAGGCCAGCAAAGTAAAATTTTTCAGGGCAGAAATTTTGTTAATGGAGATAGAGTGGAGAGCTCGGGAGACTATGTTTAACTCACTCATGGGAGATCTCTTGATGTACTTTAATGCAAGTCAGCAGATTCAGATCAAAATTCTGCAGACGGTAATACTTTATGTTACTTACCTCTTTCTTTTAATTCTTGGAGGTTTATTCCACATTTTTTGATAGCTCAGACATCCTGATCCTAATGGGAATACTGGTATCCTTTTGCAAATAAAACCGTTTAGCTACACTCTTGTGTGAGGATGTAGATATTGACAAGGATATAGTAAATAGTAACTAATAAGAAGAACTTGGTATTGTATCCACATATGCTGATGTTCCTCCATTCCTCTGTCGTGTTCATCATGGTGTTAACCTTATACAGCAGGGTAAGTCTAAAATAGGAGGAGAAAATGCAATTAAATACCTGATTAAGTTTTTTTTATGAACCTGAAAGTTTTGGAAGGGGCTGGAAGAAATGTAGTGACCATGTCTACACTGCAGCCATTTGACCAACCAGTTCAGTAGATTTCTGAGCTTTCAGTGATGCCAGGTGTTGGCAAAGCCCCCAGCCTAGTGCAGTTAAATTGGCAAAAGTTTACTTCTTACTGGTAGAACAGCATTTCAGCAACAATACAGCTTTGATGGGAGCAATTGCAGCGGCGTTAAGGATGCTGGCAGCTTCACTGCCAAGTGGTTGCAGTGTGGGCTGCAGAGTCTTCATTACTCACAAGATTTCATCTGGCAGGAGGAGGGACTAATGGAAATTTGTTTGCATATAAATTGCCAACTGCTGGGTAACGTACAGAAAAAACGTACTGCTGGGTAATGTACACAAAAATCTCAACAGTCGATAGCTTTAACTGATTGTTTCTTTCTGTTGTGCTGTTTCTCCTGCAGGGCTTGTGAAGTTGGGGGTTCACTGTGTCACATGTCAGAAGGTCGCGATAAAAATTGTCAACAGAGAGAAGCTCAGCGAGTCGGTGCTAATGAAGGTAATTTTCTAATGGGAGATTAAAAAAAAAAAACTAAGTTCTTGGCGCTGTTTTCTGTTCCATGCAAAATTAATATCTTTAATTACGTTTAACAAACATCCCTGTCAGTACTAGGATTATGCAGAGCATAATAACAATAATTCAGTTATGGGGGAGGCAAGGGCAGCTGAAATTAAACGGGAGCACTCCTGTGCTTTGAGAACAAAATTAATGGTCAGCTGCAGAGTTGTTACTTCTCTGCTGGGGCAGCTGTGTGTTGGGCATCGTGAGTTTCACCACTAGAGCAGGGCAGAGTGGTTGCAGTGTGTTGCAGACAGAGGGGTTCACATGTCAGTGGGAAGAGATTTAAATGAGGTTGGTAAATCTCTTGTTTGTATACTCCTACTGCTCAGCTCTTCTGCATGGGTTCGTTATGATCTGATGTGCTGGCATCCACGATTGTTTTTAAGCTGGCGTAATTCTGTTAACAATCCACAAAGCTGTGACATTGGAAGCGACCAAAGAGTCTGTTCCAATGACAGTAGTGTTCAGAAGAGCTTAATTCATTATCTAATCTTGTGATATACATCTCCTTACACAAATGGCATTGACTGATCTTGGGAACCTAAAAAGAAATAATAAAAAAAAACCTACTTGCATAAAAGTTTATTCATGCGATTTGGTTACATGAGAGGGTAAATTCAGCTTGTGGGGTGGAGCAGAACTGCACTGCAATCAACAGAATTCCATCAAGCTGTCACCTCCAAAAACGACTAATGAATCTGCAGACATCATAGAGGTAACTTCCCTGTGAGCACATGTAGCATATCTCTTTACACTGCCGTTTCTTGTATGAACGTGTCTCTGACAGCTGTTTTCAAGCACAAGTAAGTATGGTGACCTTAAGGAGCAAAAAGAAAAAGGAGAGTAAAGGAAGATGCAAACAGTGAATGCTAGGTGTACAATGTAAGTTTATTTGTTCAAAGAATGATTCTGAAAGTTGACACTCAACTGTAATGTGCTCAGATTTATCCTTGTGGAATTTCATTGAAGTATTCCATCTTCTGCAGCACTGTGGGTTCAAACAGTGTTCTAGTAGAGACCAGAAATTAGAAAGTGAAATAAATAAGAAAACTGCAACCTTAAAGGGAGATTCACCAGATGAGTGGAACACAATGAAAATGAAAAAAGTGTGTAAATGGTAACATCTGAATGAGACTCTAAAAACTTTGAATATTTTCCAGAGGAGCACAGTAGGAATATTTTTAAAAAACATGAGCATTATGTTAGCTGAGAGACACTCTGGCTGGTATCTGTATCAAAGATTTTATTTACCTCATTGATTTTCAGAGTAGGAGGCAAATCACAGAGCATAGCAAAGTGAGCTCTGCTTTCGTTTTGTTGCATTACCTCAGTTGTAGTATGAAATCTGAGTAATGAGGTGATGGCTAGGCCCTTGTTTGCACAGCCGCATGCTGAAGAGTGCCATGTTTTCTGTAAGCCTGTACAACATCCTTCTCAGGAGGAAACCATGCATTGTGTCGTGATCCTCATTTTCAGACCATTCACGGTGAGATTTTCTCTTTCAAGGATTCTGTTCTCCATACTCAGGAGGCTGGAACAGCAGATGGGATTGAAGTGGTTAGCCCAGATCTTGCATAAACTCGGTAACCAGATGTCTTTCCAGGAACGCCCTGTGTCTGATGGTCAGAGACAGGGCTTGAGACTTCTAAGTGAATTCAGAATTGAACTGTACTGTTAGCCAGCTCAATCCAGCCTGGCTGCTGGGGAAAAAATGCTCCAGCTTTCGGCAGTCCCAGTGTGACCATTGCCAGGCAGAGCTGACAGCCTGCTGCAAGGAGTCAGCAGCCGCAGGGGAGCAGCCACCAGGGAAGCCAAGCTATGGTGGTGTGGTGGCATTCCTGCTTCGCAGATCTTCCCGCTTGCTTATCAGCTCCAGTAACTCTTTGCCAGTGGGCTGTGCAGAACAGGCCCTGGAGCCGCGTCAAGACCACAGCTACTCTTCCAAGCCAGGCCCAGATTGATGGGTTTTGCTTTAATCCATCCTTGGACAGAAAAACTGGATCTGACAAATCCGCGCACCTGCCGCATGGAGCTGTAAAACCACAGTGCTGTGGCCATTTATCCTAGAGCATAAGGAAGAAGTCTGCTCAGAGTCCTTTCAACATCTAAAATGACAGGCACGAGCACATGCAGCAGGCTGCTTTCTCCTGCCATCGTTATGCTATTTTGACTTGCTACTTACAGCCTTCATTTCTCCATCGTTTTTGCAGCGAGCATTTCTTTTATTCTGTGCAGTCAGGGAACTGTCCCTTCTTTCTGCAGCTGCTCTTCATCTGAGCTGTGCAAAATTGAGAGGCATTTGGTAAAGTGCTTTCTAATCATAACGTAGTAGTATCAATATTTCTGGAGAGAAGAATTTGGAGTTGAAGCAGCTGGTCTCAATTAACAGAACTGCTGCTATGGAGATGATACACGGGCGGGCACGCTGCAGCGCAGGCTGCACTAAATGCATCATCCAAGCTCCCGCTGCCCTGCCGGAGGACGGGGCTGCTCGGCGTGCCTGTGAGCTTTCTGCTTTGTGGCGCCCTGCCTTGCTAACCGCAGGCTGGGGAGCCGTGTTCCCTTGCCAGCCCCAGCTGGAGCCTTCTTGGGAGCGCCGTTTGGGAGCAAAGCTACAAATTTCACAGCTGAGAACCGAAGTCCTGGTTTTGTTCTCGCTCCCACTTTCACGCAGCTGGTAAATGCTTTGGCCGGGTGTCTTCGGCGGCGCGTTCTTTGCCCTGCTGGGCTGGAGGCCTGCCTCCCGAGGGACCTTCAGCTCGCTCCAGCACGAACCCGGAGAAGGGCCTCAGAAGTGAGTGGATTAGAGGGAGCGTGTGGAGATTGAGTAGGGTTCATTAATTTCACTGAATTACTTCTGGATCACTGCTTGAGGAGAGAAGGAAATTAGGCCCAGAATACGTGAGCTAAATGTGGCCATAAAGCAGTAAGTGTTCCTGAACGTGCAGCCTCGCTGTTGATGGTTGCATTTTCAGTACCAGCGTGAGCGTTTGGAGGTTATAACTTCAGAATTTAAGACTGAAAGCAAATCTTTCCTCTGATGTGGCAAAAGCTTGCTTGGAAATCTGGAGGAGTCTTGTAAGATGTCCTCGGAGGAGTACTTTCCTCTTTACCACCTCACCAATTCCTCACCAGAATAAGCTAAAAGAAACGCCTCCTCTTTTGGTGATCTGCCTGATGAAATACTCTGGAAAGGCAACAGTAGCGGAAGCAATGGGAGCATAAAGGGTGAAGAGCGAGAAGGGGACAGCTGGCCTTAGCCTAATTATTTGCACACGCAGACATCCTGAGAAAGACGCAGATGTCCCAGGCTTGATGACTGGAGCCTGGAGCTCCATATGTGTGCTTTGTGTGTGCGTGCCTTTTGTTCATTCTCACCGAATCCTCCGCGCTGGCCTTGAAGCGAGGCAGGTATTTCCACACTGGGGGATGGAAAGCGACCTGCTCCCTTCTGCGCCTCTCCTGTGGGGCTGGTTTGAACAACGGGTAGTGAGTTTGGGAGGTGTTGTAGTGCCCTGTGCTCCTGATGAGCTCTGCTTCCAGAAATTCTTAGGCAGGGAGGATCATGCAGCCATCAGCATCGGAGACCCCTTAGTGCCTGGAAGAGTTGAATGGAGGGACAGGTAGCAGGATGGCTCGTCAGCTTCTTGGAGCAGCCAGGATAACCCTTTCATTACTCTGTTCTCTCATATTCAGTTATTTATTTTTTTTTTTTTACTTTCTCTTCTCTCCTTTTGCTGTGGGAAGCCGTGCATTAGCTGCCACTGTTTTGTTACTAAAACTGCTGGAATGCAACCCGGTGGAGGTGTCCATTCTTCAAGGAAAATGTTTTAAAAGAGGGCACAGTTCAGGAAAGATGTGAGGGAATAAGTAAACAATCAGAGCTCATGCTTTATGAGACACTTGGAGGATTCAATCTACCTAGTTAATCAATGAGAAGGTTAAGAGAGAACTTAACCACGGTCTGTAAATACTGATAAGGATGATAGGCATTTGATAATAGAAGATACTGCAGTCCTGGGGGCAGAAAGCTTATTGGAAACTAATAGTTGGAAGCTGTAGGTAGACAGATTAAAAGTAGAAATGCTCAGCCTACTTGAGCACTGGATGAAATTTATGTTATAAATACACACGCTCACCCTTGCTTTGATTCATCTTCAACCTGGAGAATTACCCCACGTTTGTCTGCTTTCAGCGCTGGAAGAGCAGAGATGAGGAGTATGCGCGTGTCTGCGTGCGTGTTTGACTCTGTGTAGGTGGTGACCAAGCTGCAGGAATGACTGACGCTCATCAAGGAGCAGGAGCACACAAACGCAGCCTCCCCCCTGCCTCTCTGGCCCTGGTTCGTATGCCAGTAGCAACCCATTTAGCACAGCACAGCTTCATGTGTGAGAGCCTGTCTTCTAGTTCAAAGAGACAAAAAAGCACCTTGCGATCTGAAAACCACAGGCAAATAAAAGGGGCCTGTTTTCCCTGGCTCCCTTCTGCTATAGGGAGTTTGGGACTAGGGATCTGTTACTGAATGTATAATGCAGGGTGTTTTGTTTTAAATGGGAGCTGGTGGGGAGCACTGACAGCCTGTTCACTTGTCATCTGTTTGAGTAGTTAAAGAAGTTGAATAATTGTATTTTCCTTCAGAGAAGAATCATTCTCCGCCTCCGCTTTCCACCACACCCACAAGGAGCACAGTTTGAGGTATTCTTCAGGAAGGAAATTAAACAGGAATCACAAGCACATGATGTACCTGTCACAGGAACAAACCTGTCAAGTGTGCGCGGTGCCTTTTGCTTTCTAAAGTTAGTGTGATCCACTGAGGCATTTGGGCGAGCTATAAAAATATTTGGTCCTATTTTTTTCACCCTACTTTTAATTCCACAGACTTTTATTGTGACTGTCTGGCTCAAATTTCTGTTTTACCAGACAAGTTCTACCCACAG